CTCTAGCCTTGGATTCATCAAGTTCCACATGTCGCATGATGTGTTCTGCATACAGAAATATAGCCAGCAGCACCTGATATTTGTTGGAGGTCTCCCATCTAGGTACTAAGCCCTGCTTAGCTTCCAAGATCTGGCAGGTACAATCTTATTCACCACTAGCCGTCCCTTGTCATGAGTTGCTATGGCCCAGTCTGTGTATATGGGTTTTGTGTGTATAAATTTCTTTTTAAGTCTCTTCTGCTATGTTTTTCAGTGTTTTTATGAGCGATGAACACTCGTTGGCCTGATAGGTGGATTGTGTCCAAATTTGGTGTCAATTCATGGTTTTTGAGTTATGTTAAACCCACAAATGAACAATACATTTTTATTTATTTTCACCATGGTGGAAGCAGAGGTCAATACTGAGACAAAATTGTAGGCTTGCTGAACTATACTTGGTGTGTTCATGGCTGATGTTCAAAGCACGTTGGCCCTGTGTATATTACCTCAGGAGTAAGTCAAGGGGAGTTGTTAGGAGAACATTATGCTGTAAGGGGTCTCATTTTGCAGATATGGCTGGGTCTTGCTGCAATCCTCACCCTCAGCTTGACAAGAGATATGCAACCTTGGCTTTGAAGGTAAAGGCAGACTCTCTAATAGACCACTGGAGCTGCACATTCGGAGAACTAGAATATACCAGTATAGATCTTAATCTGATTTACAATACTGCAGACCAGCCAAAAACAGATAATATTTGTTTTAGAGATGACAAACAATGAGGCTGAGATAGCAATAAATACAAAGCTAGCCAGCATCACTGTAGGGAAAAAATGCTGCCGTTATTAGTTGCTATTGTTAAACCTTTGGGAGAAACACTTGATGACCTACCACAACTGACCTAAGTATCGATTAGGTTCAAAGTTATCTTCTGCCCATTATTATTTAGAGCCAAACTAGATTCAACTCTAAATAAAGCTCTGCAAACTATATCTGTCCTTTTTATTTAAAGCAGGTGTAACTTCTCCTTCATACCATTTTAATCACAGAAGGATCCCATAGACCAGGGATGTCAAACTCATTTTCACTAAAGGTCACAACAGCCTTATAGTTGCCTTCAAGGAATTGTTGAATCCAAGAACTGAGAATCTGTGTATACAGAGGGTCGACTATATTATTTTTCATAGTTTTTACCCAGTTTGGGTCCCCTAGTCATGTGGACTTGCAACACCACAGCACTTGTGGCTCTGAGGTTGGGGAAAGGTTAAAGACTATTTTAAAATTAGACATCATACCATTGCATCTAAATTCAACCCCCACTATCCGGACTAAACAGAGCAAGCTCATGCCGCTCCCTGGATTCAAAACTGGGACCTTTCGGTCAGCAAGCTTAGCAGCTCAATGGTTTAACCCACTGCGCCACTGGGAGCTCCATGATGATTTGGTGCTTAATTTGTAAAATCATAACGTAATTTGACCTTTAATAGGCTTTTCCTTAATCCCTCCTTATTATCCAACATTTTTGCTTATCCAATGTTCTGCTGGTTCATTTATGTTGGATAAGCGAGACTCTAAAACAGAACTGGAAAACATTCACCATTCCCTCGTTGTACAGTTTTTCCAAGCAGGACTGTGAAGGGGGAATCTTCTTTCCTGGAATTTGTGTTTTAAATCATTGCTTTGTTTGACTAGATGAGGTGGTATTATCACAATAATCAGAATAAACAACACTGCACTGCTTAATCCCTCCCCTACTAACATTTAATGTTGGGAAGGAAATCCTAAATTCTCTTCAGAACTGATTGCCCCATAACCTGCTGGGTAAACTGAAACAGAATAAAAACTCTCCTACACTAAATTACATTGGCATGTTCAAGAAAGGAATACATAACTCCAGCTGATTTCAGTTGAATGCTTTAAATGTAGTTTCACACTGGCCATACCTGTGAAACTGCACTTTAATCAATGTTCTGTAATTACAGTGCCACCAGCTGGGATACAAAACAGCATCTATAATCCTACTGTGAGGAGAGGACTTGCCTTTAGGATTAACATTTAAATAAGTTTCCTTTCAGTTGTACTGAGCCACTGCGTGAGAAATGGCATTGTGTTTACCCATGACCCCATTGACAAGGAAATCTAAAAACAACCAAATACCCAATGTTGGCTTTAATTCCAATTAACATAATTAGCAGCAGTGCCCGAACAAACAGAATATGCGCACACTTTTAAAACGTCAGCTTCTCTACGCACGACATAGATCAAAGTGATTCAACATCAAAGTTTGCCCTTTGAAGTTAGACAGTCAGGTATGACGTGCTTATAAGGCAGATATACCTGAGAAAAGGTAGCTCATTTGTGCACTACATGAATATTGGATGCTTTCCGCCACCAATTTGCCAGCATACTACTGGCTTTAGTTGTCAGACAGGCCTGTATCCTTGGCATCCAGGAAAAAAAAGATGTCTTCCACTCTACACACTTTTGTTCAACACACTAACTTCTACATTAAAAAATAATATACTGTAAAACACCACACAAAAATTAACCCTTCCTTCTCTCTACACAAAAATGACAACATACCAGATTTATATGCTTTTAAAAACAGAATGCACAGCTTATTCTGTATTTACCTTTCTTAGGAGCTACACAACTTGGCCACCTAGACATATTCTATCCAAATATATTTGTAGGCCTTAGTTCTCATGGTTTCTTAGATTGGTGGAAGTCATTTACTCATATGGAACATAACAAAATGTAAGAAAAGGAACCTGTGAAGGAAACAGAACAAATCTTATCCCTGCCATTTGATGATACAACCACCAAGGGAAGCTAATTCTATATTGGCTGTGTGTCTTCCAATGTACCTGGAGTCAGGAGACTGAACAGGCTATGGCTACAAACCAAGACAATGAGGGTGAGAATCTAGCAAATGCTGCACTTTTCTTATGGCCAAGAAAAGAAAGAACTTGTCCTTCAAATGAAGAACTGCCATCATTAGGAGCCTATGAGGCCATAAGCAGACACTCCACCTTGCCCACATATCATAAGAAAGTAAATAAAAGGAGGATGACTGGAGCATATAGGAGCATATCCCCTACTTCTTTATGTCCATGCAGGATGTTGACTGGAACATTTTTTTACATTTCTTTTGTTGCTGTGAATACAACCAAGTTTTTATTGTTCTGTTCTTACAGTAAAAGTTGAGCATCTCTTCAAAAACTAGCAAACTACATGTTGGACCATTTGATTGGGCTCATAAATGCTATTTTGGTGTTTTGCATTTAATGTGGCAACTATATTTTTATTGAGGGAAATTATTTGTAGGGCTGTCTTGATTAATTCTGGATACTTTGATTTCGGGTAGCCAAATGTCTTCCAGCTCCTGCTGCCCTTTCACATCAATCTCCAAGGCAAGAAGTAATCTACATTATCTTCCTCCAAGGATCCTTTCCTTCTAAGTTATGAGCACAGAGTACTTGTAACAAGAGAGGACAATGAGCATTAGGAATATGGCACTATTACAAAATGGGATTATATTTTAAGACACTGAATTCTGTTTATATGTTGAATTTTAGCTGCCCTTAAGCTCTCAAAGCAATAAACTCTATGATTCTGGAAGCACAATTACCCTTGGACCCATTCAACTCACCTAATGTCTATTTTTAACACTGGAAGATATTGCAGAAAATAGCAGTAAATGCAAAATGTCTTAAGTTCTAAGAACAGTTAGGTTCTGATTAAAAGGTTATACTAGCAGTATTTGTTAGGCACTACTATCTCTCTGTTTCAAGAAATGTGATAATAGTTTTTAAAAAGGAAGTCACAGCAGACAGGTAGAATACGTATTTTGCAATTAATAAAGTTCTGAAGTCCAACTGCTAGAGCTGTTACTAAGTCTCTGAAAAGCAATGGTCAACCACAGGAGATGACACTGGTTTAATTTGTAGAGGGCTATTTCACATCTTCCCAGTCTGTTATTTTTATTACTAGCAGTTTCAAAAATTCAAAAATTGACAGAAAGACAATCTTTCAAGTTAGAAATAGTAAAAAGTACATTTTATTCACAAATACATTTGTCCAAATAGTCTATTAAGCATTAACAGGAAGATTATTTTCCTCAAGTAACTGTTAAAGCTAAGCTTGTATTCAGTGTAAAAACTGGGGAGGTATAGCAAAAAAACCCTGATAAACAAATATAGTAAGATAAATATGTCTCCATTCAAACAGTGCTGCATTCTGATAATCTCAAAGCCATGTCTATTCTGGTTAGAAAGAAGCAGTTCCATAAGCTATTATAAAAAAAAGTCCCTCTGTATATCCATTTATAGTTTTCCATAGAAACACAGTACTTAACAGCTTATCTATAAATACGATTCCATGATCAATATATTTACAAACCACTTAGCTTTCAAAGAAAACAATTTAACAAAATTAAGCAATTTTCAATGTTAGTGTCTTACAGTGAATTCAGATCATTCTCCAAGCAGTCAGAAAATCTACTCACTGCAGGGAACTACAATATAAATGCTAGACATCTGAAGAAAAACAAATGTGCAACATTAGCTTTCAGAACAACATATACAAGTAGAACTATTGTGTTTTAAAAAATACTGGAAGCTCTAGAAACTCAAGTAACAAGATTCATAAGGCAACATGGACTTTGGAGGTTTCCATTTGGCATTTGTCTACACTACGTTGTTACCCACTCTTGCGGAAATACTCATGTTGGAGACCAACCTGAGCTGCCAATGCAACTTTAAGAGCCGTCGCAAACTAGCCTCCTGCGGGAGCAAACTGTGCGAGCACGTCCATGACGTCATGAGACTGCGCCTCTCTCTCCCCGCCCCTTTCTCCGCCTCTTTCTCCGTGCCAGAGTGGTTTTTCCTTTGCTAGGGCAGCATTGCCAGCGTACTCTCGTTGTTGGCTGAATTCAACAACGAGAGTACACTGGCAATGCTGCCCTAGCAAAGGAAAAACCACTCTGGCACAGAGAAAGAGGCGGAGAAAGGGGCGGGGAGAGAGGGGGAGACTCAGGACGTCATGGACGTGCTCGCACAGTTTGCTCCCGCAGGAGGCTAGTTTGCAACGGGTCTAAAAGAGGGCAGCCACCTGCAAGGCAAAGCTTAAGAATTGCACTTAGGGCAGTTCAATAAACACATCTATACTATGACATCAATTAAGATCCAGCCCTCAGAAAAATAGCCTTGTTAGTCAGTTCTCTCTTGCGGGCAACTTCTGTCTTTGATAGTGTTGATTCATCATTCTCTTGGTTTCTTGACATCTGTTCTCAGTGTGAAAGTTACCCATTCTGCACAGGCAGACAAGATTTCCATATGGCTTATATAAGTGAGGTACTGTTTAGACAATATCCTGGAACCCAGCTCCAATGCACAAACATCTTACATTCATAGTTAGCTTTAATGCCACGTCTATAAAAAGCAGTAGTGCTGGATGACAAATCCAGTTTCGTAGCTATATATAGATTTTTACCTGTCCTTCCTAAAAGAAGGACTTGAGGCTCAGTGCAAGCTACTGGCATTAGTGAAGAATAACTGCATCAGCAAACTATTGGAAGAATTTCTATGGCTTACTGGCATCTCTAAGTTCTGCCCCTTCCTGTTCTCGGGCAGGAAGGAGAGTCCTTTACAAACCAAGACTCTAGAATAGACATAATGGAGATAAACTAGTGAGGAAAGAAGAGATTGTGAACTTGAATAATATCTAGTAAGAGAGCCCAAAACGGCTTCTACTACATACTATAATGCAGAGAATGGATAATCAGAAAAAATCAGAATGCGTGATAAAAAGATAAAATACCTAGTATTTCTCTAATTTAAGCTTAAAAGGCTAGGACATAAACTTTCAAAGTTTAAGTCTGTTTTAAAAACAGTATCTAATTTTACAGTGCAACGCTGTTCATTTTATGATCCAACCAATAAGACGTTCTATATCCCACTAGGTCCTTTTTCAATTTTGGTGGAGATTTCTCAAATACCACTTTTATAGTCAAACAAGGAAGAAGCTCATATACCTTATGCAGAAAGCCCTAACATCTCATTTGTTCCCAAAAATGATCAAACAATTTTTAATTTTTGGATTCAGACCAGCAGAGGTTCCTACAAGAGACAAGAGGGGCATCTCCTGCCATGCAATTTCCAGAGAGGAAAGGCTTTCAGGAGGGAAACAGGGCAAATGGGAGAATGGATCTAACCCACGACTTTGCTGGCCTCTATAGAACCCAGCTACAGCCCACTTTCCTCCACTTTTACAGAAAAATTGAGGAAAGGACATGAGCTAAAATTATTTGTAAAATGCATTACTATTCTCAAATGAGGGAGCATTTTCCTATAATAAAAGCTTCACTAATTAGCTTCTGCCAGAATGTAGCAAAAAAAAAGGGGGGGGGATAGACTATCACAGAAAATGTGGACAATTAAGATAGGAGTGTGCAAGTGTTTTTCATTTCTACATTTCCGAGAGAAAGAGTATTCTGTCAAACATCTCCTAAATTAACATACTCATCCTCTCGCCTGGCCAATTCATCCTCACTTTCAAAGTCTCTCCATGAGCTGGTAGGTAAAACTGGTTTGAAGGAATGTCTCTGCAGCGAAGCAAATGGGAATGAGGATGACAAACGAGCAGGATTTCTCTGGAAGGGAGAAGCTTCCACATCTTCGTCTGAGACACTGCTGTGTTTTTCGTCCATTTTCTTTTGCAAGCCTTGTACCTCTTCCATCACATCCAAGACTTTTGTTGAAACCGTGTCACTGCCAGGGAGCTGAGCTTCAGGGATCCAACGCAAATACCTCTGTGCCCAGACCTTTATTTCCGGCCCTTCGAGTCGTGGCAGCAGTAGTCCATGGAGATCAACCAGCTTACTATGCCAGCTCTCATAGAACTCACTGAAGTTAGTCTGAAGATCATCAGAAGACGTTATCAACCTGCTGATTCTTTTGCCTAAAATGTTTTTCAGTAACTGATCTGTTTCTTCTTTAAAAAATCCTCTTTTTGGAGCAGGCTTCGTTGGTGCCAATGGCAAAGAAAGCTGTCGCTGATGCTTTAAAGAGAGCAAGGAAAGTAATTTAAGAAATGTACAAGATGACTGAAACTCTGAACATAGTCCTATGTTAATGTTCAGGTTATGTAATTAGCAATAGAACATGACTCTAATCATACCATGCCAAGGAGACTAGAAACAACTGTGTGGCTGTAATACAGAAGCACCAGGACCTCAAAACACCACTCAATTTGCTAATTTTAATGCAGGAATGTGTTCCTTGAGATATTGCTAGACTGCAACTCCCAGCATTCCTCATCAATGAGGATATTGGGACACAGCTTCTGGGAGTCACTGTTCAGTATCAAGAAATTCCCATTCCTGCATTGTTGAAGGCATATCGTTTTGATAGGCAAAATAATAATAATAACTTGATTTTTATACCCCGCCTCCATCTCCCCAAAGTGACTCGAGGACAAAATGCATACAGAACATCCAAAACAATCCATTAAAAACAAACAAACAAACAAACAAAAATGAAACATAGCAAAGCATAACAATCAAATAAAATATAATCAAATAAAACAGTGGCATTAAAACTCGCTCAAAAATATGAAATAAAACCCAATAACCAGAAATACTAAGATGGGCATGATCAGGGTATAAAGATCTGGGATAGTGCAAAACAGTGTAGTATAGGGCTGGGAGATTGGAAGAAGTGCAGAGAACATAGTACTATCTGGCCGGCCAGTGATTGGGTATTTATAAGTAGGGACTAGTCATTCTCAAATGCTTGTTGGAACACCCAGGTTTTCAGACCCCCACAAAAGGAGAACAGTGAAGGGGCTTGCCTAATCTTCCTGGGTGGGGGCACCACCAAAAAGGCCCTCTCCCTCGTCCCCACCAGTCGTGCTTGTGACAACGGTGGGAATGAGAAGAGGGCCTCCCTGGCAGATCTTAGAGCCCTTGCCGGTTCATAGGTGGAAAAGAGGTCATGAAGATAAGTGGGGCCTGAACAGTTTTTAATGCATTTTTTAATCAATGAAAAACTATGCTACTGATTAATAACAGCCGTATTTCCTCTTAAAGGTACAGTGTTTGCATTTCTTCTAAAGCGGTGAAATCATCTAGTTCTATTTATGTAACTAAGCATTAAATACACACTAATGAGGCATGGTTCAATATTAGTGTGATTTTAACATCACTTTTATCTTGCATTTCTAAAAATAAAATGAAACATAAATAATAAAACAGTTGAAAAATTAGTAGCCAGATAGTTTGCTTTAAGAAAACAATAAAAGTTAGTTTAAAAACCATTTAAACATCATATCAGCCACTCCAGCATGTTTAGGATTACGTGCCTAAAAAGTAAAGTCCTGGTTTTTATGTAGGAAAATATAATTTCAGGATTCACTACCAAAAAGCTGGTTAGATTATTGTTAAAGAATGCTTTGCATTTATGGTTTTGGTGTGATTTGTATTCAAGCTTCATCCAGGATACTGGTAAGGAACACTATATAGGCAGTTCCCGAGTTATAAACATCCGACTTACAACCAACTCCTGGAGCCCTTCCACACAGCTCTATATCCCAGATAATGTGGGATTTTCTGCCTTGATATTCTGGGATATAGGGCTGTATGGAAGGGCCCCTAGTTACAAACAGAGGTGAAACAACAGGGAGTGAGAGGAGATCTACCTCTAGGAAAGGAAATTCACCCCTAGAAGAGATATGATTTGCATAGGAAAGCTTTATCATCAATCCTTGCTTCAACAACTACCCAAGATTTTCAAAATGCAATTGTCACAGGAACAGAAAATGAGACCTAGGCCCCTTCTACACTGCTGAATAAAATCCCATATTATTTCTTCTGAAGTGGAATATATGGCAGTGTGGACTCGGAGACTCCAGTTCAAAGAAGATATTGTGGGTTATTCTGCCTTGATATTCTGGGTTATATGGTTGTGTGGAAGGGTCTGTAATCTCCTGAATAGGGACAGAGATGGCAAAATTCACATTACAGGGGTGTTAACCCTTCCCTATGCTATCCAAAACTAAAAAAAAATATGGAATTATACTTAATAAATGTATCTGTTCTGACTTATATAATTCACAACCCGGGGACTGCCTGTATAACTCAAGAACCTCATGCTTACCATTTCCATGAGTCCACAATTGTGTACTTTATATATATTTTTAATCTGTTGTCTAAGCAGAAGTATTGGGAGCTTTAAAGCTTGTCTGTAATCATGACACTCGATGGCTGCTTAAATTCACAAATTCCAGGTTAGCTGAAGAGTGGGTCATATTGAATCTGTCAACAACCATGTCTGCTACAGATTCCAGTGTTGTACATGAACTCCTAAAAGAAGAGGTGAGCTACCTCTTTGTCAAGGCTGCCTTCCCTGGGAAGGGAACACATCCTTTGCCTCTCAAGGCTGCTTGTCAATGGTGAATAGAGCTGCAGCCATGTTGGAAAACATGCAATTCCGCAAATCTACTTCCTTTTGATGGGTTTTTCATCACCTTTTTTTTTCTCCTACTCCCCGTTGACTTCATATCACCTGAGTGATATGAGTGCAGAACGCATTTGAAAATAGACCAAAGGCCACAAAATTTCAAGACAAGCACTTGCTGCATATGACCGCTGTTATAAAACATTTTTTCTGCCTTTGTAAGTTGAATATCTTACCTTGAGTCGTGTGGTTTTCTTCTGACTTTTATCTAGTTTTGGCTTCTCTGCATATAGAGGATTATTCAGCAAAGCCTGTGCCTCAGGTTCAAATTGTACAGACCATTCCCAAACAGAAAGATAGCTAAGCTTACTCCCTTCTGTATTCAGGCTTCCTCCATACTGTCAAAAGAGAACAGGCTAGATTTAGAGTCCAAAAACAGTTTACACTAGACCTTTATGGCAATGCAAGTTTTATCCCAGAATTTCCGAGCACCTATAATAAGCCCTCTGAACTACATAACTTGAGATTATAAAAACCAACTTAAGAAAAAAGTGCGAATTGATTATACACTGGCTCTTTGTTTCACAAGACTATATTGGTAACATAGTGTGTACTATGTTCACTCAGAATTATTACAAACAACATCTGAGCAGTATCAGGCTACACAGAAAGAACACGGTAAGTAAAATGCAACTATATTCTGGAAGTTTATTAGAATGATACAAAAATAATTCAATTACAACATTTATATCCCACTTTATATTTTTGGATCCTAAGACAACACTAAATAAAATTAGTTTTAAAATTTGAAATAATTTAATATCATTTCAACAGACTAAAAGCTCAATGTACCATTCACATCTGTGGATGACAGCAACGGAGAATATCCACTATTTTTAAAGCTTCAGCAGTGATACTGAAGCAGTCTATTGACAACTTTTTTTGAAAAGTCACATTTTTTGGCTTCCTACAGCTCATTAAGGCATTCAAGGAACAGTTGGAACAATCTGTTCAATTCCTAACAGAATTGAGTGGGAAATCTGAGCAAAGCAACAGACAGTTTTCCTCCATACTGAAGCCTATCCATGTGGTTCTATGCAGATAAGATCTGTTATCAACTCCTGCATTTTGATATATTTCAAAAAGCAAATATATAACCTTTAAGGCTACAAAAAGACCTGAAAGTGTATGTTGAATGTTTAGTGAAGGCTCTTCTAAGCCAGAACATAGAATGAAGAGATTTTTAACGGAAAGAGATAGAAACTGAATACGCTACAGAATTGTATGCCATATGGAATATGATTATTTACAGCAGCAAAATCGAAAGCTGCAAGAATTCTTTCTTTCTGATATTGGTACTCTGTACTACCTTTATTAGACTAGAGAGAATTCAGCAGTAACTCACAACACTTCTATAATGTACTGTACCCCCGTTTTGCCTTACCAAGGTAGTGTCTTTGTGATATTGAGAATTGAAGAAGAAGGTGCTAAATATGGGAATGTACAAGCTGTCGGACAGAACAGTTAGATAGGTCTCTGTAAATTCAAATGCTGGTGGGTATTGCTGGACCAACTGCCACACACAATCCAAGAACAACAAGAAGACCGGTGCCTGTGATAAAAAGAAATATGATATTGGATTGCATGATTTTAAATATATAGTTTTAAGGTTTTATATGTTTTAATGATTGTTTTAATATATATGTTTTTATTATGTGTGTTTTTATGGCATCAAATCACTGCCTATGTATGTAAGCCACCTTGCATCTCCTATGAGGTTAAGAAGGGTGGGGAAAATATGATAAATAAATAAAAAATAAAGAATCATCATCATCATCACCATCTTTGTTTGTATCCTGCTTTTCTCCCACAAATGGACCCAAAGCGGCTTACAACATATTAAAAGCAGTGCAACTACAAAACATAAAACCATTTATAAAATAAAACATAAATAAGCATTTAAAACCAAATACATTATTGTAGTCTCGTCAGATCATATTGCACTTCACTCAGCTCAATGAATGTTAGCCTTCCTATCCCTTCAGGCTATATTTCACCTCCGAAGGCTTGCTTAAACAGGAAGGTTTTGAGCTGTTTTTTAAAGGATGACAAGGAAGGGGCTGTTTTAATTTCCTTGGGGAGGGAGTTCGAAAGGGTCAGGGTGGCCACCAAGAAGGCCCTCTCTCTTGTCACTGCAAACCGCATTTGAGATAGTCGTGGTAGCGAGAGTAGGCCTCTTCAGATTATTTTAGCGACTAGGCAGGTTGGTATGAGGAGATGCGGTCAGATAGGTAAGTTGGACCTAAACTGTTAATATTATATGCCAATATTCCCTGGAAACTGAGAATAAACACAACTAAAGCATTTTTGTGTTGCATTTATCAAGATCTAAATTATCCCAAATCCACAGGTAATATTGAAGTAATCCGTTATGGTTTATTGAACTGACTCTCAAGGGAAACTTATAGTTCACTTTTCTAATTTTAATTACTCTTACAATCATTTTATTCAACCTGTCTTTTTAATAAAACCTTCACTTCAAGCACTTATCAAACAGCTATGATACTGCAATTACGCATTTATTTAAATTTTACTTATTTTACTTTGGCTTTATTTAATGTTGCTTATTTAGTTTTATACACCTTAATTGCAGTTACAGAAAGGCAACTGAACTATAATGTAAAATGGTCAAATTACCAATTGAGATTCTATAGAACATGTTACCAGTGTTGAGAATGAACTCTTTACAGCCTTTTTAAAGGAAAATTCAAGTGAAAATTCTTATATTTAAAATGCCAAACAGCCTGGAACTTGAGTACCCGAATGATCACAGCCTTCTCTCACATGTATCCGAGAGTTTTCTCAGAAGCTCCATAGAATATCCCTGATTAGGAAGTCTTGGATGCTACAAATACATACAAAATTATATTACCCCACATAAAACAGTTTGTACAGAACCATGAGTATTAGGAGCTTTCTCTTCCTCAGAATTTTTTGGGCACTGTGCTGTTTAATTAAAAGGCAGACCAACATTTATTTAAAGCCAAACAGGTCAAGGAGGATATTCATAGTATAACTTGTGCCTCCCTTCCCTCTATGTACTTTTTTATATGTTGGCTCAAAACTCAAAAGTAGAACTTCTGTTAGCCACAGCATAGTCTATACCTCTTCTTTCTCATTTTGCCGCAGATGATTACACCGATCCAAGAAAGCATGAGTTCCCATAATCCATTCCTTCTGAATGAGGCTCTGAAATCCCAGCTTTGTCCGGCAGTATGAATCCATCATAATTTGAACCAGACAGGAAACCACACAACACAGGTCAGAAGCATTCTCCTCTAAGAGATGATGAGACACATTTCATTTGAGACTGAAAAGTCATTTTAAGAATAACAAAAGATAATGCAATTAAGCCAACACTCAGTTAACATAAATTGTTTTCTTAAATTTGGAATGCTCACAATAAATTACTAGTCATTTTTGCATCCTTGAAAGTCTACTTTAGACCCTTTTCTGTTAAGCGATCTTTCCCAAAACTGAAAAATATTAATAATAGCATAGGATAAAAACTGACATGAGATCTTGTAGTAGTGACCTGAACAGTATTTTCCCAGAAATACACAATCCTTTAAGTTATTTGTATAATGTTGGTAGTTCTTATTTTTAAATTTTAATTTTCCTCTATTATGGTAGGCATGTATACCAAGAGAGAGCATTTCAAAAGCAGTGTGAATGGAAGCAGTATTTCACAGCAGTCAAGGTGAACAAAAGGACTACGTGCCACACTAATATCACAGGTAGCAATAAGCACAAGGTGAAAAGAACTTGTATGATACTGTGTAGAACAAGGTAAGAACACAACTGTAAGAAGAACCTCTAGGAAAAATCACCTAATGTTTTGTTAAAGGGCAAACAACTTTAAAGCACCAGTTTGGTCCTGCTGAGTGACAAGATTACCACACAGCAATAATTATGTTCAATGCCAACTTCTCTAATCTACCAATATGTAGACTACTCAACAGCATTACTCACAGGTGGAGAAAAACAGAACAGCAGAAGACAGGGTCTACACTGAAAGGAAAACAAGGAGATGTGATAAAAGAAATGAAAAAAAAAATTCCGCTGAGGTTAGTCAAAGTAATAAACCAGATCTCTTTAACAAGAACCACACTTCACAATAAAATAAAGTGATCTGATGTGCCACAATCATGCACAATTTAAAACAATGTCTTATGGATCTGATCACCTCAAAAGGATAGAGGTTTAACCCAGTTCTGTCCAAGTTACTGAATGCGAATCTTAAAGACAATATCACGAAGAGGTTTAGTCCCCCTCCTAGAGAGATGTCTCGAAGGAATAGGGAACAGCCATGGCATGCACAGCTGACCCTACCCACAATCTGGAATTAAAATATTTCAGAGGAAGGAAAAGCAAATAGAAAGTGAAGAGGCAGAGGGGAGCATTATTTCAAATTCTAGCTTTCCATAGAATAATCTATAGTTCAAATAACACCAAGGTATTTTGACCTAAAAGGTAAAGGTTTCCCCTTGACATTAAGTCTAGTCGTGTCCGATTCTGAGGAGTGGTGTTCACCTCCATTTCTAAGCTGAAGAACCGGCATTGTCTGTAGCCAGCTCCAAGATCATGTGGCCAGCAAGACTGCATGGAGTGCTGCTACCTTCCTGCAGAAGCAGGACCTACTGATCTACTCAGATTTGGATGTTTTCGAACTGACAGACGCTGGGGCTAACAACAGAAGCTCATCCTGCTCCCTGGATTCAAGCCATCAACCTTTTGGTCAGCAAGTTCAGCAGCTCAACAGTTTCACCTGCTGCAATTAGTAACAGATGGCAAAGGGTTTCTAAAACTGAGAGGTAGGTAACATCAAGAACCTCACTAGATATCTGTAAGCAGTCTTTTTACATAGCTTAAGTGGTTCTTAGAACTCAAAATTGCAAACCTATATATTAAAAATGAGTCTTACTGAAAGGCAACAAGACTTATAGCACAACCCTATGGATTGAGAGAAGAAACGGTTCCAGTTTCTTTAAAAGCAGCAATAAATTATATTCCTGAAGAAAGATAACCCTAGCTCATGTAATATCAATGACAAGGCAGCAACTAACAATCTTTTCCTGGGCAAGATGACCAAGAAAGAGATAGCCAAGGAATTCCAGTCATTCTTAGATGAAGAAGATTATCAACATTCAATTAGATTTCAAGCTTGGCTTTGGAATAGAAACTGTCCTAGTCATCTTGTGGGACAATGTTTGTTGAGAAAAAGACAGGGAAGAGTGACACATTCCCTCACCCACTCATCCACTCCAATCTGTATAGACACACATCATCTATAGACTACAGCACAGAAGTCAAAGAAGGTTTGAATGATTTTGCATGTGATTTTGTCTTTTCATCTCAACTGTCACAGTCTCCTTTGGACTACATGCAAGAGTTATCAGTGGCTTAAGTTGCATTCCTATTTGGAGGACCATTTAATAGAATACCAAGTTTTCAAACTTTGTGTGTGTGTGTGTGTGTGTTTTAAGTAGAATACAACTGCTTGGTTCATTCCAAAAACGAGGCTGGGAAGTTTTTTTGCCTTTTTTGTGAGCCGCCCTGAGTCCCCTTTGGGGTGAGAAGAACGGAATATAAATGCAGTAAATAAATAAATAACCTATTGTTCAAACCCTTAAAAATCATACAGAAAATTATTATTTCTTCTATACTGTTTAAAATATATACGGCCGGGACAGGTTATCTTCCAATTTGGCCTGAGGTGGAATCTCCAATTTCTTTTTCTCATTAGGTGCAAACACAGCAAAAACTCCTGTGAATCAGTACATAAGCACAACCATGGAGCAGTAAGTGGATCTCTTAAAGAACCAGGCTTGTTGAGCCAGCACTGCAGTTAGAGCAGGTATGGGCAAACTTTGGACTTCCAGTGGTTTTGGAATTCAATTCCCAAAATTCCTAACTTGGGAATTGTGGGAGTTGAAGTCCAAAACACCTGGAGGGCCAACATTTGCCCATGCCTGAGTTAGAGACCCTAGGGCGCCTAGAACATATTCTCTCAGCTTCAGTAATATGCCAAGATGTTTCCAGGTGGAAACAGTTTGATCACGATTAATCACTATCTGTTATTTTTGTTTGTATCCCATCCTTTTCTCCAGAACTGGGGTTCAAAGTGGGTTAAAGGTTTAAAAAGACATAAATAAAAATAAGCAAGAATGCCCATATTTCTTTGAATATAATGCGCTATCGAAGGTAATGTGCACCTCAATTTTGAAGGTGTGCATTGCTCTCAAATGTAATGCAAGGCAGCAGTGGCTGGGAAAGGGCTGGTGGCAAGCTGTGTCGCTTTGACTGGCCTACCCACCAGCTTTTTTTGTGGCCACCACTACCTCTCCATCTGTGCACAGCTGGGATCTCTTGCCCAACAGTGCAGGCAGGTTTAAGTGTGCGATTCTAGTAAAAGGTTAAAGGTTGTCCCCTGACATTAAGTCCAGTCATGTCTGACTCTGGGGTGTGGTGCTCATCTCCATTTCTAAGCCGAAGAGCCAGCGTTGTCCATAGACACCTCCAAGGTTATGTGGCTAACACATCCTCAAAACAAATGCGCACCTCAATTTAATTTAGTAGTGCAATTTAGCCAAAAAAGATGAGTTAGACTCATGCAAATGCAGTATATAAAATATTACTGTTAAAATGCAATTCAAGTAACTATAATATTAAAGTATTGCTAAATTAAAATTCATCACAGAGAAAAAAGTAAACTAAAGGAAGCATGACATTAATCTATTAAAGCTGTTTTAAAGAAACAGACAACAGTCTTCTAGAATTAAAAATAACAGTGTTTGTTTTGTAATACAACAATAGGAATGAGGCCAGTCTAGCCTTCCTTGGGAAGAAAGTTCTAGTATCTAGGAATAGATTTTAATACTATCCTGATCATTTTAGCTGAATGTGTTACATGTGAGTTGCCCTTTAAAAGTACAGAAACTCCCTCTGAACCAGAATAAGGGGCATAATATTAATTGGGACTAGTTCTATTACAATTATAAATGTCAGCCATCCAAGCTCCTAGTGTGTTTCCAGGCTCAAGTCTGAGCAGTGGTTTTGTACATGAAACCTGCATGAGACATGCTCCTGAAAGACCAATTTCTCCCACAATGTCTACCTAACCCTTTGCTTTCCTTCTCCCTGCTTATCCCTGGTGGATCTGGTTTACTACTTTAGGAGACTGTAGGCAGAGATTGTTTGCTTCATCTTTTTGCAGAGGCCAGAGAATTTTAAGGCATTATATTTCAGATTTCTAATAATTACACCCTACTGAAGGCAGCATTATCAATTTATGTCAATTATAACATACAACAGTTCATAAGAATGTGCAAGACAGACTCAGGAGTTATTAGAAAATTTTAACTTGTAAAACAAATCCTTCTTACCTACAGTCTTAGCTATAGCAAGTGACCTGCATTGGTCATCTGCATAACTCTGGGAATTCTTTCCAGGAAAATTTTACTTTCCAGAAAAAGAAAATGCATTCATTTCATAAATGACTTTGAAATATGCATGCCCATTCAAAAGCTCTTGCTGCATAATTCAAAGAAGTCTCAAGACATGGAATGGAATTCTGCCATTACTTATTCAAACCAAACCAAAAGGAGGGTTTGGAAATTGAGTATAATACCCCGTCCACAGATTGCAATATTTCCCAAGCATCTACAATGCAACACTGTAGATAAAAATGAGGGAATCATCTGAAGATCAGCTTTTAAATTTTTATTTAGGAATGAAATAATTTAGCAGTGAAATTAGTGGAACTTGTGATCTTTAGTACGATTAATGCAGTAAATATCTAACTAATCTGCAAGTTTAATCTTTGAATGGTCCCCCTATGATACCAGCTTACTATGGGCCAAAAGTTAACCATTAAAAAGAATGTAACACAGTGTAGCTAAATCGAGATGTTTCATATTTTGGTTCAGTTTTCTAAATGTATAGCAAAGTCAAAGGCACACAAGAAAAAAAATGGAACTTTTGACTTGCCTGTAAGAAGAACATTGGTATTCTGTGCTTCTAGTGATTCAACAACCTCTACTGCTTTTTTCAGGCACCGCCTAAAACAAAAATAAAGCTTTCAATACATTGGCAGTCCCCAAGTTACAAACATCTGACTTACAAAGACTCATAGTTAAGAACAGGGGCGAGACAACGGAAAGTGAGAGAAATCTACTTCTAAGAAGGGGAATTCACTCCTGAAAGAGTTATTATCATGGAGAAAAGGTGTCTCCACAGGAGCTTTATAACCAATCCTTGTTTCCACAACAAGCCAAATTTTTCAAAACCCAGTTATCACAAGGACAGAAAGTGAGGTGAAATCTTCTGAACAGGGGCACAGACAGCAAAACAAACACCCCAGGGCTGTTAACCCTTCCTTATGTGCAATGTATTATATTGTGCTTTTAATGTATAGTATTTTAATTGGTCTGATTCCTTATTCTTATTATGTTTATTTATCTTAACACTTGACTTTGAGTGTTTATAAGTTATATTAAGTTATTTGATTTTATGTTTTGTTTTGATTGTTTACCTGTTCTTTGGCATTGAATGTTTGCCATTTTTGTTATTTCTGTAAATTGCCCTTCGGGAAGAGAGGGCGTGGTATAAATAAAGTTGTTGTTATTTTTGTTGTTGTTATTATTATAGCACTATATCTATATCTATATGTCAGAACAGTTACTTTTTAAAGTATAATTTCACACACACACACACACACATACATATATGGCTGAAGTTATACTTTAAAAAGTACCTGTTCTGACTTACAAACAATTTCAACTTATGAACAAACCTACAGAACGTATCTTGTCCGTGACTTGGGGACTGCTTGTAATTATCTTAAACATAAAGTTTTAATTGTGGTAAAGAAGTCAGTTAAATCATGGTACTATCTCAAGATTTTGCACAGTTGCCCATAGTCAAAATTGGCATATACTAGATCTAAGCAGACATTAAAATCTGTAAACACCATTGTTTAAATAAAGTTCTGTGGTTAATGAAAGATTAGCCATTTATTGTAGCATAAACCTGACAAGATGTACGTACAGTTTATGAAATAAGGACTTAACCAACCTTATGATTTCTAGCCAATTTGTATTCTCGAGTAATGAAAACCACTTTACATCAGTATCCCAGAAGTCTGTGCTGTTATCTAAAAGGGAGAAAATATACATTCACCTATTTGTTTTGGCGGCTAATGCACTATAAATAAAGCATAAAATGTCAGACATAACAATGCTTGGGTCATATGTCAGCCTTTTTTTTACTTGGCCGAAGCATGAAGCATAACAGCAAGTCATAAAGGTAAGCAACATCACTATTGAAAATAATGTGTAGCAGATGCAGAACACAAACTAAAAGACAGAAACTGAAAGCAGAACACTAAATAGGGCTTAAATCGAAAAAGAATCAAGTTTACGTAGAAGAGCAGATCAACAGTATCAGGAAGCAACGTGAAGTATACAGAAATCTTGTACTATGCGAGGGGACCATTCCAGATCACTTTCTGTATTTTGTGTAACCTGGAACCCTATTTTTGATATCTGTAACACTATCTTGGGCTTCTGTTAGAAACTGACCAAAGAATTAATAGAGAATACGTTTCTAGGCATTTACTAGGTCCTGCACAAATTCTATTGCATAAATGAAACCATGTTCAATGAACTTGCATAATAAGTGAGCCTACTGTATTAGCATTGGTTAAATGCAATTTGTTTTGCAAAATGAAGTTTACTTCTCAGTGCTGAACATTTTTAACACCTTGATTAAGATATACGAAGTATTACAGATAGACAAATCTACTATTCTTTCAGGTATCAGCTCAGTTCTACATTTCAAGCATCGGTGAGCATACCGGCATGATTAATGTCTGGACAAAGCATCTAGCACTCTTTCCGTGTCAGGTACTCTTCTATAACTCTCTCAGTAACAGTTCACTTACCTATTAGAAATAGCTGCTTAAATCTAGAATATGTAACATGAATTTCTGGCAGAGATGGAAGACTGCTTGGAAGATCCTCTATTTTCAAGGCTTCGAAAGGAGGCTTATCAATTGTCTTGTACATCCTGAACAGACAGAAAATATCACTACTGATTGGAAGGTTAATCTGTTTACATGCCAAACAATGACCTTCTGGATAGAACAGCAAACCACAACATAGTCTTACATAGATGATTTTGTTTCATTTCTCCTGATACATGCAAGGATACAGAATACAATTTCTTTTTTGCCATTTACTTTTTTTACAATATGTTTTATTATTTCAACATTACAACATCTTGTTTACACTTAGTTTCAATTGGTGCTCATATTCATAAGCACTTCATTTCCATGTAACACTGCTTCTTTTTAAAATCCCAGTGTTTTGTTACAACTGAAAGTGACCAAAGAGACTTTAATTTCGAGCAACCTTTACTGAAATCATGGTTTCTGAGCCTGCACAACAACTTATTACTGCATTAATGCCACTGGCTTTTGTGAGATATTTAAGGCTCCCATTATTAAGGGCCTTATAGTTCGCATGACAAAAAAGGATTTAAAAAATTAAGTTGGACAAAGGCAAAAAGAGTGAGCCTTTTTGAAAGCATTAGTTATAAAATGTGTCCCAGGAGTCAGCAGCAATAACCTCAATGACAGTCCCTATAAATTCCATAATGTGTCCCGAAACCAGTTATATGATTTTAAGAATTCTTGATTGCAACAAAGAAAACTCCTGATTTTTGATGTTTTACTGTTTTCAAATTAAGTTTCAAAATTCACATTGCAAGTTCTGAATGTAAAACTCAATACCAGTGTTCAGTTCTATTAATTTTTTTCAATAGTTGAAAAGAAGAGATTTGTGAATCTGGAATCTATATGTCAAGACCTATGCTGCATATACAAAAAAGTGTCTCTTCTTAAGATTGTTCATGTATTTTCAAAATGATTATTAAAAGACTACACTTCTAATTCATACTATTCCTACTTCACAGTTAAGAAAGCTTACAAAATTGATTCTTTATCCTTAGACATGCTGTTTTGATTTAAGCTGGTGCAAAATTATACCATTTTTTTTCTAAGCAGAATTGTAGAAGATAAATATTATAAGCCTATTCTATTGTGTCCATTTGCTTGGAATAAACCAACTGCCGTTAAGAAGCAAAATTAAACTCACAGGACAGTCAACAGAAGCCTGGCCAATTGTTTTTAGATCACCTTGCATACAGACTACTATCAAAATATAGGTTATTAAAGACAATCCCACCAAGTTCTTTTTCAAGTGTTGGAGTTACTACTGACCCATCCAAGAAGATTTTCTGCATCTGCATAGTGTTATCATCTTGTTCTTTGGGAAGAGTTGACATCTTGAGGAGAGAAGTTCCATTATGGCAAGACCAACACCAAATCTGCAATGTATTGATAACAAAAATAATGAATTAGAGTACTTATATGGAGCATTTGATTTATTAAGAGTAACAGTATAATATAGAAAAGATCTGACTGTGAATGTCAGATTGCTACCTTACTGTAAGATTTATTACTGAAATCTTAATTTCTCGTCTTTTAATGTGGGATCTGAGTGGCATACTTATAACACAGAAATAGTTTTAAAATTCTCCACCTTTAAAAATTACAGTCCAAAAGACAATGAGGGCATAGCAACAAGTTAAAGCAAATTAAAAGGCTACAACCAATGAGCATACAGAAAGTCCAGACCTTCAAACCAGTTTACAAAAGTGCAGAAGCTTCAAGACCAGGCCTGGGCAAACTTCGGCCCACATGGTGTTTTGCACTTCAACTTCCACAATTCCTAAAAGTCGGTAGGTTGTTAAGAATTGTGAAAGTTGAAGTCCAAAATACATTGTAATTTAGTTATAAGGATATAACCCCATATAAGAGATATGGACACATATTAATTATAGTAACAATATGTATGGGGACACAACATATCTCATGAAAACCTTTTATTTATATTTTTTAAAATGTGTGATTTGACTGCTTATTTCACATAGACTCAGTGGTTTCTTATTATGTTTGCGTCAAACACTAATGTGTCACAATACCCAGTTTGGAAAGCTCTGATCTATGGTATAGTCCTCCCGCCTCCATTTCCTGGTTTGTGCAATTCGTAAGACCTGTGGAGGTGCTACACTTTCATTTAGAATTAATGTACAGGCCTGCATTCTTATTGTCCCTGCTGACACAATCAGATGCAAACATCTATAGTGGAGAACCTTCTTCATCCATGGAGACTCCTTGCACAGACACAAACCCGGGCACAGGCAAACTTTGGCCCTACAGGTGTTTTGGACTTCAACTCCCACAGTTCCTAACAGTCTCAGGCCCCTTCCTTTTTGCCCTCAGCCACTTAAGCTGAGGGGGAAAAGCAAAGGGCCAGAGGCTGTTAGGAATTGTGGGAGATGAAGTTCAAAATACCTGGAGGGCCAAAGTTTGCCCATGCCTGCACTAACTTTTTAACTCATGAAGGGCAAAGATATTGCTGATATGCCCATTCCTGCTTTTCCCCCTCGTATGTTAATTATGTGTACAAGAACACCTGAAGCTGTAACTACAGAATTAAAAACCAGGTTTCACTGAAATTCAAGGAAACTGTAATTTGCATAAAACAGGAAATGAGAGGAGAATATGCAAGTCTGAGGCTTATTTATAATCCTTAGGATCATGGAAAATTATCTATACATATTAACTGATTATATGGTCATTATTTTCCAGATACTTATTCTGTCCTGGAAAATATACTGAGACAGGTCCCAAAATTCAGTTCTGTCTCCTAACTATCTTAGCCTTAACTATTACCTGCAAACAAGGAGGAGATGGGAAGAAATGAAACCTCAAAGAAACCTTTAGGACTAAACACTTTTATTTTGCCATGTATTTTGGGGGATACAAACCCAACGCTTCAGATGCAGCACAGAATATTATAGCCTAAAGTTTTGGGAGTGGAACAAAATACAATAGCATCCAGAAATATGCAAAAAAATCCCTCTTATACTCACTGGAATTCCTTTTCCTTGATACTGCAAAATGTCCTGTTCCGAGACAGCCATAGGAACAACAAAGTACGGAGATAATCTAAAGAAGGTAATTTGGTAAGTTAGAATGCAGACTAAATAAAAACACAATGGAAGAGAAGGTATTATCTTATCTTTGTGCATTTTATGTTCCCCTTCTCACATGGAGAGTGCATTTTTGAAGAGAATTGTCCATACAGTCCAGAAAGTTGGAAAATCAGTACAGGCATATAGCTTGGTTAATTAACACATTCATTCTTTTTAACAGGAAATTTGGTACCAGAGGAAAAAATAACATAAAAACGATAGGTTCCTAAGCCACACAAAAGAGAATGGTTCAATGCATTTCAATAAACCTTTATCCAGAGCTAAAAATATGCACATTGAAAAGGAAATGACCAGCTCAGGTAAGCCTTGAATATGTAAACAGAAGTAGAAAGATCAGCTTATTTGTCAGTGGCTTTGTTAACATAGAAATGTTTGTATTTAGTTTCAAATAGGCAGCTTCTGTATAGGAAGGAGACTCTTCTTTTCAGAAAACACTCTATGCCTAGAGGCATAAGGAGATAGCACACTCCATTCAAGTACATATTTAACCTATATTCCAGTACATCTGGAATGGCTGAAATGTGTAGCAACATACAGTTATGATACTGACAATCATGGGATCTTTATATTACAAGATAGATTTATCCATCAGTTCAAATCCCAATTTCTGTTCATCCTGTGATTATTTATTGTCACAAATAAGAGAACTTTAAAATTGTTGGGTCCCAAGGATTTCTACTCAGACCAATCTGCTCACAGCCTTAAAGGACATCACAATGCAAATTGATGTGATGCATGTATAAGTAGGGTAATAAAATTCAAGGAAAAACTATGTAAATGGATAAAGAAAAACGCATACTTTTTAGAGACTCTGTAGTCTTCATTAGAGCCCACTACTTTGAATTTCAGGTTTCCTTTGGTCCGTTCCAATTCTTGACGCCAATCCTTCATGGACTCAAACATCACTGTCCCAGTCTTTACGTCTGTTGAAACATAAAACTGATAGATGTTAGAATTATAAAATCTTGAAGCAGTTTTTCTATTTCAATCAAAAACTTGAAATGGATATACTTGGGATTACTTTGGCGGGATAAGTTCACTAGAACACCTATTTGACGGACTGATATGGCAGAGTGAATATGCCTTCTTATATAAACACAAGTCTGGAAAACGGAATCTCAATTTGGAAAAGTAAAGGTCAGTAAAGGTCACCATATAAATTATCTAAACACAACCTTAAATTTTTGGAAACAAATTTTGGTGATCTAGAATGAAATGCAATGTCCTTGGTAATTTGCTTAAGCATGTTTTATACCAAGTACTAAAACTGAAACATTCAAGAGATTTTTGTTGTTGTTTTTTGTTGTGTCAGGAGCGACTTGAGAAACTGCAAGTCGCTTCTGGTGTGAGAGAATTGGCCGTCTGCAAGGGCGTTGCCCAGGGGACGCCTGGATGATTTGATGTTTTTATCATCCTTGTGGGAGGCTTCTCTCATGTCCCCGCTTGGGGAGCTGGAACTGTCAGAGGGAGCTCATCCGCCTTTCCCCGGATTCGAACCTGCGACCTGTCAGTCTTCAGTCCTGCCAGCACAGGGGTTTAACCCACTGCGCCACCGGGGGCTCCATATTTAAGAGATGCTTTAGCACATAATGCGAACAAGTTCATCTCAATCTTTTGAGCAATAGTCCAAGGAATCAAATACTTTATACTGACATATTTGTCAGGTTCCAGAATTCATATTGCAGAAGAACCAGTATTTACATCAGTCAATGGGTAGAAGATCTAATTGCTTTAGCGATGCAGAAAATTCATATTCTATGCATATTGACATCAAGTAATGTTTTTTACACACAGTCTAGTTATATTCATGTACATGTTTGGCAAATGGGCATACTGTAGTTATTTAGCTTCACCCTGTTTTCTTTTTCCTTCTACATTTATGTTCTAAAAACCACAAAAATAACAAATTGTGATAGCAATAACAATAACAAAGTTCGGACACAGTAGTCAAAACAGCAATACAATCTCTGTTCAATGCTCTGTAGTGCAATGGCACATAACAAGGACTCCTTAATTGTTTATTTTCAACAATTCCGCCACATTATTTTTGGACTAACGAAGTCAATACAATGAGTTTCAACACAACCACTGCCAATCCTGAGCAGTATTCTATTCATAAGATAAGGAATCATGGTTTTGTCAAATTCAAAGCAGTACACTGTTTCCAAAATCCATCTGAACTGTATTTTAACTTTGTATTCATGACACAAACATTTGTTTTTTAATTTTATATTTGCCTTGTTTTTTAATGTTACTGTGTTGTGTCGTATTTATGTTAGCTACCTTGATTCCCTATGGGGAGAAAGATGTGGTAAAAATAAAGCTAACAACAACAGCTTTCCCATACAATAATGCTGGACCCTTACACAGGTGTCCGCTGAAGCACATGTCTTCAATCCCACAAAGGTGGGCATTTAATTACATGCCTGCACATAATTCATGCTTGCATCACATTTACTTCTTCTTAGGATGATACACTATTTCAAAGTAAGGAGCATCTCCTGTAGTAGTTTTGTCTTTTAAGGTTCTCTGTACAGGTCTATATAGCTTGTTGGAACAGGAAATAGTAAACTGCTTGTTAAAAGGATAGCTATAACACAACAATTTCATAGTAATTTCATATACTCACCTGTATCATTTGGTGCAGCCGATGCATAGGAGAACAGAAACAAACGCTTGAATAGCTTTGCAGTCTGTGTTTGATGAACGATGCCACTGACAATCTAAGGAAAAAAACAAATCAACACACTCACATTCAGAAAAAAATCAGCAAAAGTTCTGCTGTTCAAAATCAGTGTAGCTTAAACAACCACCAAAGTTATTTCGGCAACACTATATAGTAGACTTAAGAGGACATCAGAAATTCTATTTTATGTATTCACTGTTATACAAAGCAGGTGAAAAACTGCACTAGGGATGGAACCTGAAAACTTAATCAGAATATAGATGTTGCCACTCTGGAGAGAAGAACGGACATGGAATGAACAGTTGGAAAGAAGGACGGTTCTCACACTGCCAATGCTATTTTTTTTCCTGCTCCGTGTGTTACTATCTATTTATGTAATTATGATGTTGTTGTTTATTGTTTGCATTTTCGGTTTGCGTTTTCGGTTTTACTCTGTTGTAATTTGTTGTTTGGGCTTAGACTCATGTAAGCCGCTCCGAGATCCCATCGGGGAGAAGGTGGTGGGGTATAAATAAAGTTTATTATTATTATATTATTATTATTTGAGTCCAGCCAAAAAAATTAAAACCAGTTTTGAGTTGGGAATATTAAGAATTCTCCCCACTCCTACTGATGGTTCAATTAAAGTGAAAGAGTATGCAAAACCTACGCAGGGCTGTTAATAACCAAGCAGTCTCATTTTTAGGACTCCCATAAGTCAAAACTGACTTGATGGTGAACAATAACAACCTCAAGTTCCTTATATTTATCTTATTTTTGAGAAGGGAAAAACTAGTCACTGTATTCCTTAAAGTTCTATCACAGACACATATACACAAATTTCCTGACAAAACTAAGAAAAATTGAGAAAAAAATTACATTTACCCTTTTAACTTCTTCTTCCTTGGTGTATCTCAAACAAAAGCGAAACACTCTAAAATCTTTGCAATAAATTATTATCGTCTCTGGGTATTTTCTCAGTTGGCCATATATAGGTTTTTTTCTGTCATCATAAACTGCAAGAAAAAGCACATTAGCCGGTGACATTTTAGGTAGCAATTCAGGTAACATTATCCACTCTTTTCCAGCCATAACAGTAAGCTACATATTAAAATAGTTGAGAGAGGAACATAATTCAGATCAAACTTAAGAGTTGCCATAATTAGAGCTGGGAAAACAAAACAAATTTGTAAAAGATTATGCAATTAAAAGTTGACCAGCCTACCTCCAAAAAGTTGGTCTACACACTGTAGAGTGATGTCATTTTGCCCAATGATTTTATTCTTGAACTGCAATTCCTGAAAGAGGAAAATGCCTTCAAGTTACTGTAAAAAGGAATAAGTCTTATTATTCTCTGTATCTTAAAAGAATACTCAACAAATGTTTTGGCTATTTCAATTAACTACTTTCATTACAACCAGCAATTTCATTATAGTTAGCAATTTTTCTTAGCTTTTTCCTGACTCAATTAGTTCAGCTTAGTTGGAATTAACAATTGCATTTAAGACTATATGTGTTAATTCAGAAATTTTAACACAGTCCAGGGGTTACATGTGATATATGTTCACAGACTTATAACCTTAATTCACTTCATGTTTCCGAAGTTTTCTGAGGTTTTTTTTTCTGCTTCCTCTTAAATTACTGATTTAAAAAAAGATCTGCTCTCTTAAGTTATCAGTTAATACCATCATAGCTCATAAAACCGAAAGTCAGATTTTCTCTGGGCCAAATTCAATAATACCTTTGGAAGCCACTCCGATATGTATAGAAATATTTTATTTTGACCCATCACACTCACAAGTCTCATCTAACATCATGGTAGCACAGCAATTAATCACCCCTAAGCCAGAGGACCCAGGCAGCAAAACAAAAAGGATTTGGCCATAAAAAATAACTTTAATTCCTTACATCTTCTAAAGTAGATTCTTGACAGAGGAATGAAATTTTGAAGTTTGTGCAAATAAGTTTTCCGTAAGTGCCACGATGAGATCCATTATCTTGTACACACTTCCAAACCATGCTTGCTTCACAAAGTACTAGTTCACCTGATAGAAATAAGAATTTATTTTAGCATCCGTGTTCTTCTGTTCTAAACTTCTACAATTACACTATGTTGCAGCTGTAAGATTGCATATATAAGACACTCACATTAGCAATAGAATACTGTTGCTTTCAATTGGAGAATTGCTAAATCAAGGGCAGAAATTAGGCGGAGATCCTGGTGTTGTTGGACTGTAATTTTCAACACACTTTATCACTGGCTAAGCTAGTGAGGAATGCTGGGACTTGCATTTTAAAAACATCTGGAAGGCTGGTGCCCAGATTCTCTAACAGGCATGGGCAAATGTCAGCCCTCCAGGTGTTTTGGACTTCAACTCACACAATTCCTAACAGCTGTTAAGCTGGCTGGGATTTCTGGGAGTTGAAGTCCAAAACATCTGGAGGGCCAACGTTTGCTCATGCCTGTTCTATAATGACCTATTCAAAAAACAATCCTTACAGTTAAAAGGAGGGATGTTATGTATCCCTGTACACCAGCATCCTGTCTCCAGATTTCTAGGCTGTTCTTGGTTGGCAACTATATGTACTATGGCAGAAAATATCCTAGCCATGCAAATCTTTAATGTTGCCTTCACCATTCTTTTCAAACATCTAATTGTTGCCTCTAGGCTCCCTGCAACCTCAACTCCTTGTTGTAGTCCTCAAGTCTGACAGACTCCCTAAGTCCCTGAACCCTTCCTCATATTTGGAGAGACCAAAAATGTCCTTAAGATGTCCAGTACTGCTGTTGAAGGTGTTCATGACAGCAGATTACAGAATGTCACCCCATCCTGCAAAATCCTCTTTATCTAGAACCTCTCCTAGCTCAGAAAAGAAATGAGAAGTGCCTTTTAGTCATTCCCAGATCAGATATTTGAATGTGATCACCAGAAACTTAATACTTCTTTCTTCCCATTATTAAATAATATTTTATTCTACTACTACTCCTTTGCAAAGTTGAGCATGTTTTAATTAAAAGACTTGTCTCTTTCACACCAAAGCTGTCCACATCTCAAGTCTGAGCAGGCTTTCCTGATACACTGAAGAAACATCCTGAGGATGGGAAAAACCTAGCTGGACAAACTCTGAAGCTTATCCTTTAGAGCTCAGGCAATCAAGTTTAAGTGTGTTACATAAAAACAGCAACTGTGATAACAATTTGATATGATTTTACAGCATTGTTTATTTAACATTACCTGGTAACAAGTGTGGTTCTACTTCTTTTTCTGTGGACTCCCTTATGTATACCTCCTAAAAGACAGACAGAAACTGGTTTAGGGGTGTGATGGCAAGATAACAATTTAAATAACAGAATTTTCAAGATCCCACTTTATTTACCAAAGTTATACAACTTAACATATAGTTTCATTTCTCAACAGTTCTATACCAACAAGTTTACATTCCAGATAAACAAAGCAAAGGGAATACAGAAGCGTGCCCAGAAAATTGTCAAAAATTCAATCCATACTAAAAGTGTTGTCAAAACAAACCTACCAATGACAATTTATCTCGATCACAGATCACAAGTTTCATGGTATTTTTATTAACTTTTCCCAAGGCACCTTTGATTTATGATGACCCTATGAATGTTCAGGTCTTGTGGACTCAAAGCTGCAGCTTCCTTGATTAAGTCTATCCATCTGTAATACAGTCTTCCTCTTTTTCTATTATCTTCTACCTTAACAAGCATTACTGTCTTTTCAAGTGAGTTCAAAATACTACAGTCCCAGTTTAGTCATCTTGGTTTCCACCCAGAATTGAGGCTTGATTTGTTCTAGGTTCAGGTTATTTGCAAATTTTTTTTTGGAAAATTTTAACTCATTTGCAACACTACATTTCAAATGAATTGATTTGCTTCCTGCTGGCTTTATTTACTGTCCATATTTTGAAACCATATAAAGAAGCTAGAAATTTGACCGCATCTGCTTGCATATAAAGTCATTATTTGTATTTATTAACTGCTTTGCTTTGGTTCCATAGATAACAAAATCCATAGATGTTCAAGTCCCATTTTATACACTAAAAAGGAAAATGATATGCTTTATTTAAAATGGCAAAATCCAGGCCTGTCTTTTGGATTTCTTACTATGATCAAGCCATAGATAGTTGACTCTATGGATGAAAAGGACCCACTATATTGCTAACTGACAGTTAATTCTTCACCATGGAGAAGCATTTGCTGTGGATAGGCTTAGTTTCAAGTCTTGAGTGCAGTTTGGTATAAAACAAAATTCAACTTTTAGTTAACTTTTACATAACCAAAGTATAAGTCCCAGAAGTGCGACTGAGCCAGGAGTATAGTGCCTAACAGCCCTGCATTACTTAAAGGGGCCTTGCTACACATTTTAAATAACCATCATCCTTTCACTTGACAAAATCTAGATATTCCAGATAGTGTCAGAGTGACCTTGATTTCTATTCATTTGTACTTGGTAAAGTTCAGCGATCAAATCCTCAGAGATCAAACCCTTTCCCTAAAAATGTTTTTAAAACAATGTTTTCTAATCTTCGATAGCACCAGTGAGGGAAAACTAGGGAGAATTTCACAGTTAAGGCACACTTGTGAAGGAATCCAGATCTACAAGCACAAAGAAGGAACCCAAAAACAAGGCATCAAGGTGAGAATTAAATGCATGCACATTTGGCAACACGGTGGGAAGTCAGGTCAACATTCTAACAATAAATTTAGATAAAGAAGTAAATAATTAACAGACATTAAGGCAGAAGGCCAGCGTTGTTGGAAGAATTGTCCAGTATAGGGACTTGAATCCTTGATGATCAATGGACAGAAATTGCATGTGTGCTCAGTGAGATCCAAGGCCTTGAAAAATCAGATTGTTCACTTGAAGCTGAGAGACAACAAAGGCTGGTGGGTGAGGCCTCTGGAAGCATGATAGCAGCACTGCTGCAGTGTGCCTTCAAGGAGTTTTAAACTTATGAAGACTTGAAGGCAAACCTAACATAAAATTTTCTTGGCAAGATGTGTTCAAAAGGTGTTTTGCCTTTGCCTTTCTCAGAGGCTGAGAGAGAGAGTGATTTGATCAAGATCCCCCGGTGGTTTCCATGACTTAGTGGGAATTTGAATGCCATGTTTCAGAGTTCTAGTCCAATGTCTAAACCAGGGGTCCTTAAACATTTTAAACAGAGGGCCAGGTTACAGTCCCTCAAACTGTTGGAGGGCCGGATTATAATTTGGAAAAAAACATGAATGAATTCCTATACACGCTGCACATATCTTATTTGTAGTGCAAAAAAACACTAAAAAACAATACAATAATTAAAATGAAGAACGATTTCAACAAATATAAAATTATTAGTATTTCAATGGGAAGTGTGGGCCTACTATTGGCTGATGAGATAGGATTGTTGTTGTTGTTATTGTTGTGTGCTTTCAAGTCATTTCACACTTAGGTTGACTCTGAGCGAGGGTCGGGTAAATGACCTTGGAGGGCCGCATCCGGCCCCCGGGCCATTGTTTGAGGACCCCTGGTCTAAACTAATCCCCTCATCTCCCTCCCTAAAGTGACAGTTGTATCACAAAGGGCATTGTTATGCTAAGAAAGAAGCATATATTCCTTAAATTAACTTGTTAGTCATTGTTAAGACAAAAAAAGGACTATAAAGAGTTTCCAGGATAGACGGGATTAAAACACAGTTCAAAGCTAATAAATGCATGTCATTGCTCATCTTCCCATTGAGACATTGCTGAAATGTTGAAGAACCTAAGTTTCTGATGTTACTAGGCTAGTGATGCTATCAAAATCTCTGAGCTAATCAATCAAAGGTTGATATACCTGTATTTACTCAAGTATAATGCACCATCAATTATAATGTTTACCTGAATTTTGAAGGTGTGCATTGGAAAATAAAGATTTAATGCCTAATGCAATGCATGGCTTCATCTTGCCTGTAGACCGCTCTGCTGCCCACTTTGGAATGATACCCAAGGAGAAGCCGTACCCCTTCATCAGGCTGAAGCTGGCAGCCTGACGATAGGCGATGGCTTCGACAACTGAAGGCCTCATTCACAAGGCCTTCAAAACCGGGGGGGGGGGGGGGGGGGGGGGGGGGGGGTTGAAGGCCTTGCAAATGAGGCCATTTGGAAAGCCATGTCCCTCTATCAGGCTGAGGTAGATGGGCATACGGCCAAGGTTGTAACACACTATCAAATATAAGGCCCAACTCAGTTTTGGCTACATAATTTAGCCAAAAAAGATGAACATTAGATTTGAGTAACGATGGTATTATTTAGACAACAAGAAATAGGGGTGCTCCCACCTTAAAAGCCACTGTCAAGAGACGAAGATAAGGAATTCTAAGTTAAGCTTTTTACAGTTTTCAATTTTTGGGAGTTGATGCAGCCAAACTGCTCCATCTGAAGTCTAAATGACATAATTCAAGGGGGGGGGGGGAATCTAAATAGCCAATTTTACAAGTCTGCTCCATTTTAGTGTTATGAACTAAAGCTAATAAGCTCCTCTCAATGTAAACAGCTGTAAACTGCCTAACTTTGAAGAAAAAAAATCTCGCTTGTTTTAAAAGGCTATTTTTGCCTTCTGCACAAAAACCCTTGGCAATTGCTAAGATGTGAACCAACAGGAAGTCAGTCAAATATAGATGCAGCAAACAGTGAACTTTGCATACCAGTGAGTTTGTCTAGTGTGGGAAAATAAGTGACAGATTAACCATGACAGAGTATTTACTCCAAAGTACAAATAGTGAATGTCCAATCTTCCAGAAGGTGCTTTACTGTAACCCTCGCCACAGTGCTTTTGTAGCACTGATAAACATAATCAAACATCCTAAAATTTGCCAACCAGCACTTAACATTACTCCTACTTTTTCACCTAAAACTAGCAAGGTATGATTTAACGGACACACATACACACATTTTCACCATAAGCAGTTACCCAACTGTCTGCCAACTAGAAATAAATTTACATTAACATCAGTACAAGGAGTTTCCTCTAAATAGGCAATGAGACAATAATCTTGAAGAGTATTTCAGTCACTCAAAGCTGTAGCGTAAAATAGAGTAATAACAGTAACCCAAGTTATGTTGGACAGGGAACCAGGATTCACTCTGTTCAGTCATGAAATTTACTGATTTTGAAAGCAGATTTTTCTTTCTACCTAACATTCTCATAAGGTTATGGAAGTTAGCAGGAGCAGACAGAGTTTGGAAAAAGTGTGAAACCAACTAACCCAGCAACTGGTCACAAAGCCTCTGGTTTAAATCCAATTAGTAATTTCAATTTTCCCATACCTATTGAATCGATTGCTGAATGGAAAATTATACTTTAGTGGGATTTATGCCTATAAAACTATCATATTAATTTGCAGTTCTCCGTAATTCCAAACAAAGATGAACAAAGATATTCCAAGCAAAAGTTGTCTGGCAACATTCTTACTCTTTGATGCTCCCCAAGCACTACTGCGCTCCCATCAATAAAACTTCAGCTTGATTCCGTTTTGTTTCATCCGTAAGGCCCCCGTTTTAGTTTTTGAGCAACTTTCCCAAAAATAGATGGTTTTCCAAATGAGCTTTTTTGTCCAAGGTCCGAAGAAAACAAATAGTTTTGACCCATTGGCGGCAAAGCGGCAGCACCTGTCAGGTCCTACAGCCAAGTAAGAGGCAATCGGCTTTAGGCCCTGCCAGGGCCTACAACCAAGCGTTCCGAGTGCTAAGCGCAGAGTAAGTAATGTCACCTTGTCTTTACTGTAAGGTTTGTGGAGGTGTGTATTGACAAATAAAATCATTACACTAGCTATCAACTTCTCCAACTGGAGCTATCCTGCTAAACTCTTTATGCCCCTGCAAATAAACACAGGGCCTTAAATTAAAAAAAGCTATATTATTGATGTACATCAAAACACTACGTGTTTACATCAAACTATAATTCACAGTGCTTATATTACTTTTTTAAACTGCCGTCAGTTAATATCAAGTAGAATGAAACTAAAAAACAAGTATAACCAGTATGAGGCTGACTTGAAGGGCAAGTTCAAGTATCCTCTTTCATTTCTTGCCAAGTGTTCTTCAACAAGCAAAACATTGTTTTTACTTCTCCATCTCTGTCAAACAGTAGTGTAGCTTTTCTGTCTACAACAACTTCTTGGGATTTTTAGCATCATGATTTTTCTCTTCATTACAGATTTCTTTCATGTGCACAGATGTGTTTTGTATGTATTCAATGATATATTCATGAGAAGACCCAGTGAGGTTCTCATGTCTAATTCTACATATGGTT